TCCCTATAAAACCCTTTACCCTGAATTGTACACTTTAAAAGTATGAATTTTATAGTGTGTGAATTAACTTTAAATTAAAAAAACAATGTAACCTGGCATATGTAGCCTCACATGACCTGGTCTGGCCTCAGTGTCTCTCACTGCCCACCCTCTGTGGGCCTCCCACTTCCTCTTAGCTTTACATTCAGCACTTTATTCTGCTTCTGATCTGCTTCTGATACATTACAAAACAGTAATGTATGAGAGAAGCCAGGTTAGAGCTTGATGGGCATGAATGGGATAGTCACAGAAGGCATCCATCTGCAGAGGGGAGTGCCCTGGCTTTGTAACCATGCACAGAGTACACTCCTTCCTTTAGATTCCATTGCTTCAACTGTGAAATATGGACAATAAAGTAAGATTCACTCAGGACAACAGGCATTAAACCAGGCATTAAACCATTTGTGCTGTTTGTTCTTTGGGGGAAACATTCTTTCCTCTTCTATCTCCTTACCCTCTTCTTCTCTTCACTTGGCTACCTCCTTCTTGTCCTTCGGGTCTCAGCTTGTGGTGACACTTCTCCGATCTCCCTAGACCGTGTTCAGGTGTTCCTGAGGCATTTTATACTTAGTCCTTTTGGAGCAGTTGTCATATTATATTTGTTCATTTTACAAATACTGAGTACTCTGGGCTAGGTGCTGGGTATTCAGTGGCAAGTAAGAGATGTGATCCCAACCCTCCTGGAGCTTACAATCTAAAAAGGGAGAAGAGGGACATCAAACAACGAATTACACTGAGTAACTGTAATTATGATGTTTCAGGGCAACCTGAGAGGGTATGGCAAAAGGTTTGACATAATTGAAGGGATCAGGGTAGAGTTCTCTGAGAAAGTGACATTTAAGCGGAGACTTGCAGAGCAGGAGTTGGCCAAATGGGTGGAGAGTGGAGTGTTCCATGCAATGGAACAGCATGTGAGAAGGCTCAGACATAAGGGAGCTTGGGGAAGTTTTAGAAACTGAAAGGCCAACCTGAGAGACAAAAGAGAGACTGGAAGAGCCAAGTCATGCAGGGCCTTGTGGACAATGGTAAGGGTTTCCTAAATCCTTTAAGAGGAATAGGGAGCCTTCAAAGACTTTCAACAGGGTAACTTGGCTGCTGTGTACAAGCAGAAGCAAGAGGACAAGAGACTGAAACTTCTCTAATTGCCTGCTAATTTGTAAGCTCCTTGAGGGTGGAAGTTGTGGCTTATTAGTGTCTCAACAGAGTCCAGCACTGCGGCTGACACATAGCAGATATTCAGTATTACATTAATGAGTTGATGGGGCCAGGATTCCAACTTAGGTTTTCAAGAAGGGCTCAGCACAAGTATCAACACTCCCCTCCCAACACAGCCCTTCAGAGACCACCTCTCTACCCCCTTTTTTGCCTCTAATGTATCTGTAGTTGACTGTATTTTCTAACAGTGACCACAGTAAACCTTATATCATGTTCTTACTACAGTGTAATTTTTTAATACTCTTCCCACTGAAAAGTGAGGTCTAATTCCTTCCCCTTGGATTTGAGGCTTGGTCATGAAAGATGACTCAGGTTCTTCCTGGTTCTCTTGGAATACTTGCTCTTGGAACCCAGCCACTGTGTTGCCGTGTTTTGAGGCCCACATGGAAAAGAACCAATAGCCAGTATCAGTTTGTCACCCGTGTGAAGGAGTTGTTTTGAAAGTGAATCCTCCAGCTCCCAGCAAGCCACCCAGTTGATACCTTTTGGAGTGGAAATGAGCTGTCCTCACTGAACCCTGCCCAAATTAAAGATCCAATTAGCAAAACTAATGATTATGGTTGTTTTAAGCCTCTTAAGTCTTGGAATGGTTTTGTTAAGCAGCATTAGTTAACTGGAACAGCATCCTATGTTTGTCATGCAGAAAGGTGGAACGGCTCAGTGGTTGAGTCGGTGGCCTTATGACTGATTATCTTGGTTCAAAGCCCACCTCTGCTACTTAATGCTGTATGACTTTGGCAAGTTACTTAACCTCCCTGTGCTTCACTTTTCTTTTTTCAGTGTAGATAAAAACAGTACTTAAGTTTTGTCTGGATTAAGTGATTAATGCAAGTAAATGCAGATCTACAGATAGTACAGATCAATCTTTATGATGATCTCAGGCAAGCCTTGGATCATTTAACCATCACTTTCATGTGATTCTGTTTTTGTTTTTTATAGTACTTTTAGTATATGTGTGTGTGTTATATATGTATGCATGTATACTTACAGACACACATATATATCTTTTAGTACTATCTGAAATTATCTTTTTTACTTGTTTATTGTTTATCCCACCAGAGTATAAGTCTCAATAAAGGAGAAACCTCCCTGTCTCATCTACTACTGTATCCCTAGTACCTGGTACAGTGCCTGGTAAAAAGTGCTTAATAACGGTTTTGGTTAATGAATGAAGGGGTAGCACTTTGACACTAGTTGTGGAAGATGTCATTAGTGCCTACCCAGTATCCATTCTGTCCTTGCATAGTAGTGGACTCTGCTTTTGTTGCAGATGCCAATATAAAGTACCTACTGTCCCAGACTCCCTCACAGCCAAGGGTCCTTGTGTAGCGGACTTTCTATCAATGAGTTGTAGTCCAAGAACTGCTAAGCACATCTGGGAAAGTCTTTGCTGACATAGGCACTGCCCTTTCTTCCTTTGCCTTTTCCTGCTTCCTGCCCACTGTATAGGCTAGAAGTAAAACAGCCAGAAGGTGATACATGTGAGGATAGGAACAGGTGCTCCCTGAGACACTGATGACCTAGCTAGTGAAGTCACTACACCACAAACTACTATGTGAGAAAAATTAACCCTTTGTAGGTAAGCCCCAGAAGTCAGCCTTCCATTACTTGCAGCCAAATACATTCTCAACTGACCTGCTAGGGTAGAGGAATATCTACCTCTATAGCTGTCTATTAAGGACAAGGGAATATTTCATCTTCCTTACTCTCCTATAGGAGTGGAAGAATTTATCTGCATAGATCTTCACCTCTCTTCAATAGGGAGAGTGGGCAAGTAGAAGAGACAACCACATTATCTCCTGCCTCCTGAGTTCACACATTTCAAATAGTGGGTTTACAATGTACCATTCATTCCTGAAACAAACATATTTACTACCACTCTATGCCTGGCAGTGTATGGCTGTTGGGGATACAGAGAGGATTAAGTCAGACGTTTGAAGCTGGATTCCCAAGTTCCCATTAAACATTAAGCTCCCAAAGAGCAGGAACTGAGCCACTCCCAGTAAGACTTAATTCTAACAATCTCTCTACCATCTTGTTCCTCATCTCAACTTTTTTACCTCTAACTCCATTTTAAAGGTCTCACTTCACTAAGTCATTCACTAGCTTTTTAAGTGTTTCCCATGTTTCTACAATACCAGTACTTGTGCTGCATATCTGGTTGTATTTTGAATGCCTTGACTTTCAAGATCATTCAGGTTTCAAATTGTCTGCTTTCTCTACAACTAAACCTCCACGTGCTCTTGCTGATCCACCCTAAAGTGGCTGTTGTCTAAATATCAACACATCTCTGTGGTTTACTTAAATTCAGCTGTGGGGGCTAGGTGCATTAACCTATAGACTTGGATGTTATCCCAAGCCCAAATGATAGATCCCTCCCTCAGCTCCAGGGTACACCTAGATCAGTATTTGCTAGTCATAAACTTAGCTCCAAGGGTTAAAGCTTTAGGAATTGCTACTATGGGAACACAGCTGTAACATCAAGATAGACTATTGAGGTAGGTGTCAGGAATCCTAGGACCATACTGTATTATCATCTTTGATATTTTAAATTTGAGGGTCTTTAAATTATCAAAGTGTGAGCGTGTTTACGTGGGTGTACTCTTTCAGGGGCAGAAGCTGGGCTGTTTTGAGACCAACAGAAATTATAGACCTTTCTTCAAAAGAGTACACATCTACCCCCCCAACACACATATTTAGAAATCATTTCTGGAGGTCCAGATTAAGAATCCACCTGGGATTTGCCATGAGAGGAAACTCTTTCTATACCATAATTTGGTTCTCTCTATATATAATGTACTATTCATTTACCTTTTCATGCATGTGTGCTTTATCCCATTGAGCAGGCAAGCTCCCTGCAAAGAACATATGCCTCTTTATTGCCCTCAGTGACGTGTGCATGTAGGAAATGAGGCTTATAGGAAATATTTGCCAGTTGAGTCCTTTGAAGTCTCTTGTAGTTTACTGAAGACAGGCAGCTTTCCTTTTAGTATTCCAGCCACCACACCATCTCCCTCGAAAACGAAAAAGATCATCACAAGAGGGCTTGGACCCTACATTCACATCTGTTTACTTTCCTGGTTTCAACTGAGGCATTTACATACTACTCATGCAAATATCCAGTCTTGGGTATTTAGAGAACAAGGTAATGCCTTATGGAGAGCTTTATACAACAATAACAAAAAAAGTCAGTAAGCATTAATAAAATAAATTTGTAGTCTATTCCTTCCACAGCTCTGTGCCTTACTTCATACACACTCACCTAACTTGTGCTATCCCATGAGTTTTATTTCTCAAACTATACTCCTATCCTGGCATGTGCTTGTAAGCAAAATTAAAAACAGGAAAAACCCTGATGCTAATAGAATAGTGGCCTTGTGGTTTCTCATTTTTTCTGATCCTTCCCTCCCACCTATACATTTCTACAGGCCACCTTTAGTCCTAACTTCCCTAGAACTGAAGTGTTTTCTCTCCTCCAGTCCCCATCCCTGACTCACTAGGCATTTGCAGCCACCTGGTGGCCAAATGGGGGAAATGACAGGTAGATTGCCCCCAAAATATTGTGAAGCAGCTCTATGGAGTGATATTTGGTCTTGGATCTATGGGGAGCAAGGAAAGAGAAACATGGATGGAGATTATAGCACAGAAGTCTGACATCCTACTTGGTCCCACCTTGCCTCTCAGGACACAATATTCTATCCACTAGTTATTAGAGACAGATTAATTCACTTAACATATGAGTGTATTCAATCAAAATTTATTGAGCAGCAACTATGTGCCCAATTATGTGCACAACTGGGAATACAGCAGTGAACAAGATACAGATGCTCTCTGCTCTCTTGAGCTTACAATCTAGCAAACAGTCAATTACATGTATAATTTTAAAACTTAAATTGTAGTTAAGTACTCTGAAATATGCATGGTGCTAAGAGAAGATTTAGCAGAAAGTCTTGACCTACATGGAGAAATCAGAAAAGGTTTCCCCAAGGAAGAAACATTTAGGATCAACTGGGTAGGAAATGGAACAAACAGAACAGTCTGTGTGATGGCTCTAAGTCAAGAAGACATTGCATGAACCTAAAGCCAGCCAGTATGGCTGGAACAGGGTACAAAGAACAGTCATGCCAGATGATATACTCGAGGTAGACAGAGGCTGCTTTATGCAAGGTCTTTGAATTTAGGACTTTATTCCCAAAGCAACTGGAACCACTGAAGAATGTGAAGCAGGAAAGTCAGATGTTTAGGTTTGTTTTTCAGAGCTTGCTCTGACTGCTGTGTGTGGCAGACAGAAGTGGAAATGGGAAGACTGGTTAGGAGGTTCCTACAGCGGTCTAGACAGGAGATGATTAGATAGCTAGGAGAGAGGAAGATGGGTTCCAATGATATTTAGGAGATAAAAGCTACCCAGAGAATGACTGGGTGTGTGAGGAGTGGGATGTTTCTGGCAAAATGTACTGAAGTAGGAGACTGAAGAAGAGACAGGCTTGAGCAGATCTCACAGCCTCAGGCCCTGAGGCTGGTGCTAGAGCAACAGCATAGCTTTGGCTTTTCAGATCATTTATGATTTAACTGAGTAAACAATACACACATGAAACAACTGCAGAGCTGATTAACATCAAAATGATTCAGATAATTCATGGACTCTTGCATTACATGAGACTGAATAGAAGCTCTCAGTCTCACAGTGAGTTAAGATACTGCTGAAGCCAATACAGATGTCTCTATGCCTTTCATAGTCCCTCAGAAAGCTCCTCTGCAGGGTGTGCACCCAGGGTCTCACAGGGTCACTTCCTCCTGCACTGGGCTCTGGTGCCCCCTGCCAGGAAGATGCACTAGCCTCTCCCCCTCTTTTTGCCTGCTACTGTCAGGAAGTTCACTTGTCTGTCAATCTCATCTCTTTCTCTGCTTAGGTTGAAGGGGACCAAAATTGCTCTCCATGGTTGATGTCTTTTAGGAGTTTTCCGACTTACTTAGTTCCTCTTTCTCCATTAGCCCATCAAACTCCCTCTTGCAGAGCCACTATCTTATAAAGTCAACCATGTCTTCCTCACCTTCCTAAGAGGTAGAGGCTCATTGTCAATATTGCTTCTGCATCTAAAGGCCCTTTCCATACTCTAGTTTATCCTGGAGTCCATTTATACCATCTCTTTGCCTCAAAAATAAGTCAGAAGAAAAATTTTGCTATGAAATTCAGCAGGAAGTAGCCCCAATAACTATTGCTCAGCTGACACTCAGCCTTCTCTGCCTCCACTCTGCAGCTGCAAAACTTTGCTAACTCCCATGCAAATACATAACTGCAGAAAAATGCCTGACTATACAATAGGCCTACAGATGCCCACTGAACCTGGGACATTAAGATATTCCCTTTACATTGAAAAGAACATGGACTTTGAAATTGGACAGACTGGGGTTTGCATCCTGGTTACTAACTAGTGTGCTTTTGTGCTATTAAATCTTGCTAAGCTTCGAAAGAATTGTCTGTAAAATAGTGGTAATGGCACCCATCTTATAGAGTAGTTTTGTTAAAGCATGTAGCATAATATCTAGTCTGAATTACCTAGTAACCGTTCACCTCCTTTCTTCCCCCTTAGGCTTCAGCTGCCAAATGCTATTCAGAAGGGAGATAAGCTGGTTGTGTATGGCCAGTGATAGACATTTCCTATTTCTTTGTAAATCCCATTTCCTGCAGCCATCCATTTCCATCATTGCCAAAAAAATGTTCTTCTTTCCCTCATCCCTGTGTAGGACTTCTCTTTCTCTTACTATCAAAAAGTTCTGCCTGACTATCCTCTTCTACATCTCCTTAATCCAGGATAATTGTCTTTTTGTATCATTCCTGAAACTAATTCACTTCTAGCATTCTCCCTGATTTTCTCAGAGCAAATTATAATGGACCTGGGAAAGAGGACCTTTACACTTCAGAAGGGTATCAGCACCACAGGCCACTCCCCAGAATGGAATGGAGGTCTAAGTCCAGGCATCCACCCCTCTGGTCTAAGTCCAGCCCATCCCACTTCTTTTACTACAGGGTACAAACAGCCAAACACAAAATATGTCTTGAGTCTACATGAGTATACATCTGCTTTCCTATAGCTCTGTGAGGTCATCATTGAAGTAGAGCAGTATTGCAGGTATGTAGAGTGTACCATCCATATTGAGATAGTCCATTTCTTCCTCCTCATCCAGGATCCCATTCTCTTCCAGAGTATAATCCATATTAAGGTTCTTCCCTTCGTATTTCCATGTATAGCTGGCAGCATGTGCGTTATAGGGGAGATAGCGGTGTAGGATTTCCCACATTGATTCCAGGGCCCCCACCTGCAGAACAGGAAAGCACCCACCCCCAGAATTCTGGATGGAACACACACAAACCCCAAGCAAAGGCCAGGAGCCCAAAAGATGATAGAACTGGGATCAAAGTGCCTCCCATGCAGGTAGCAGCTTCAGGTACTCCACAGTCAAAATGAAGTTAGAGCTCCAGCATGCAATGAATGGCCCCAAAGTCCTACCTGTCTTTATGGCAGCCACTTCTAATGAACAGATGGCCTTCTAAAGGTTCAAAGTCACGGCCCCCTCATCTCACCCCCACAATAAAGTACACAATAAGAGTCCAATTGCAGCTGCTGTTTCAAACAGTATATAAGCACTTCCAAGGACCCCCATCACTAAAATGCATAAACTGCTGCCCTGGGCTTATTAGCAAGGAGTCTGTGACCCCGTGACTCCTCAAATTTGCAGCCTCACAACCTAGGTGGTCTGCTTTCCTCTGTTGCCCATAAAAGGGAAGGAAATACTGTTACCATCGGTAAAGGAGAGCTGATGGTCTGAAGATCTGCTTGGAGACTGGTTGGAATTCCCAGTTTCTTCTAACCTGTCCCCCAGACACCAGTTCTCACCTCCAGTGTGTGCTCCTGCGACGTGAGCGTGTTAATGATGCGGATGTTCCGGGTCTTGGCCGACAGCCTCCCCACCTCGTAACGCGACCCCTGCCACCAGGGCTTCCCGAAATCATTGGCCCAGTCCGAGCGGGGCAGTTGAGGCGGGACGTGCAGAAAGCGGCCGCAGGGGGTGCGGTATCTTAGGCAACCGGTCAACGTATCTATGCGCTTGCGGATCTTTAAAGCAGAATTTCGGGGAGGGGCAGTCACCATCTCGGACTCTGGCTAGTCCCTGCTTTTCCTCCCCATCCCCGCTCTCCAGTGCCTCTCCCCCGGACTCCAGGTTCCAGGAGAACTCACGTCTCTCGTCTTTGGATCAAACCAGTGGCTGATGTCCTGGCCCGCAACTTCCAAGATGGGTTTCAGCAGCAGGTCTCCTGGGAAGCAGCAGCCGCTGTCAGTGCAGGCCACTCAAGAACCAGGCACTCCCAACACACACCCTGTCCCTGGCCCAAAGTTTGGCCCTTACCTTTGTACTCCTGTGCCAACGGTGTTAGGTCGTATACATATCCCAGGTAAGACACCCAGAGGTCTTCTGGCAGGTTGTGTTGGGCGACCTCGGCCGGCGTAAAATAGCGACGCTGGAAAAATTCAAAGTCTGGCCCGGCCGCTAGGTCCCGGAGCGGCATGTTTCTTGCTCTCTGAGTCACAGGCTCCTTTAGTGGCTTACTTGCTCCTCAGGATGCAGTCAGTACCGCATCCTCCCTCGTCCTGGAGCTAAGGCCAGCGCGTTGATCCGCTGACATGGAAACCATTGTCCTTTTCGGCCACCGTCCACTGAACTCAAACAGTATATGGGCGACGAGGGGTGTGTGCTGTTACGTGCTCACGGGAAACGTAGTCTTGAGTCCGGCCTTCAAGAAATTGAATTGCGTCCTAAGGAATTCCGGGAAAAAGCGAAAGGTTTTAATTCAAAGTTGCCTGGGCTACAGAGTATATTTAGGACAGAGTGTCTTGCAAGGCAGTAAAACAAGGGGGGAGAATGCGATTATGGAGTCACTCTCGCTAACTTTCAGGGCTCTTACAGGGTGTGTAATAAATTGGACAGTTAAAATTTCTCGCGATACCTTAAGATATCCGCGAATTAGTCCTCAGTAAGCCACGGCACTGAAGAAGTAGAAGCTCGCGAGATCTCTGCAGTTGCCGAGGAGACTAGGAGGAGAGAGGTGATCTCGCGAAAGAAAAGAAGTCGGAGCGATCGCGAGATCTCAGAACACCGGTCCCGAAAGGTTCTTAGGAAGTTGAAGGCCCCGGGGCAAATGGCTGGAGCTGGACCAACCATGCTACTACGAGAGGAGAACGGCTGTTGTAGTCGGCGTCAAAGCAGCTCCAGCACTGGGGTTAGCGCGGGCTCGGGTTCTGGGATTGAAGGGCAATCGGGGAGCAAGATGGGGGCACCGAGGGGCAACTGCAGCTCCCAGCAGCCTCTGGGCTTCTTGGGAGTGCCCCGCGGGCTGTCGGGAGCTGTGGTTCCGCGGGTGGGCAGCAGCCGGGGCGGCGCGGTCTTAGCGCTTGTCCCGCCCCGCTCAGGACTCAGACGGGGAGCGCGAGGACTCACCGGCTGCGCGGCCCCGGCAGCAGCTGGAGGCGCTGCTCAACAAGACAATGCGCATTCGCATGACAGATGGACGGACATTGGTCGGTTGCTTCCTCTGCACCGACCGCGACTGCAATGTTATCCTGGGTTCGGCGCAGGAGTTCCTCAAGCCGTCGGGTCAGTGCCCGGGGAATGCACACCCGCCTGGGCATGCGGCGTTTCCTCTCAAGTGCCTGGCTGCACCCCTTATTTTCTAGGGCTAGAAGTCACGGCTCATAAGGGGCGGTACCGACCTTGGCCTGCCTCCCTGATGCTCTGATCCTTCTTTCAGATTCCTTCTCTGCCGGGGAACCCCGTGTGCTGGGCCTGGCCATGGTACCCGGCCACCACATCGTTTCTATTGAGGTGCAAAGAGAGAGCCTGGCGGGGCCTCCCTATCTCTGAACACAATCGCTCATGTATGCCTTTCAGACTTCATTAAACCTGTACCTGAAGTGGCCTGTGTCTGAGTGTAGCTGGGGTGCTGGGGCAGGGATTTCACACCCCACTTCTGGTATAGGAGGTTTAATTTGAGGTCGTGAGCTCTCAACCCTCCTTCCCAACTTGGATGTCCAGGGGTGCCAAACTTTCCCTTAGGTTCTCAGGAGTGGGAATGGGGGACAGGCGGAGCTATGAACCAACCGGCCCCAGGGTAGGCCCCTCCACCTTCCCTCCCACGCTGCTGCTTCAGAACTGTGGCTGGAGGGGGTGTCATCCTGCTCCGGAAGGCCCATTGTTTCCCTCCCCGGCCTGGCAACACCAAGTTCCTCTAAGCTGGGGTCAGAGAACGGGCTTAAGTCCCCAAGGGGAACAGGGCAGGCGACAGAGGTTGGGCCCCCTCCACTCTATTGATGGGGACGTGACTTTGGGGTCAGGGATGGAGCTCTGGGGTCTGGTCAGGAAGAACAGGTTAATGAGATAAGGGAAGGCCGGGAGACTGAAGGATGCTCTCGTTTGTGCATTTGAGCCACCCACACCCCCGTCCCCACGTTATTTCCTGCTCCTAGGCACAGGGCAGGGTTGACCGTATTTGTGCCGTCGCTCTCTGTTCACAGGGTCCCAGGAGCGCATTCAGTTCGTTAATTCTTTATTAATGTGTGATCATTTCTTTCCCTCCAATCTTGCCTCTCCCTGGCCCGTAAATATTAGAGGTGCTGCACCAGAAAAGGAGGACATGAGAGTTCAGCTGTCCTATTCACAGTGGGGAGTAGTATGCAGGGTCCAGCCCAGATGTTCAGCATTCAAAGGTGGGTAGTGAAAGGAAAGTGAATTTCCCACGTTATGGCGAATTTTCACCAGCATCGGGTCCACAGCTGCTGCTGTTCCCCGTGGGGCTGCTAGGACCCTGCTTAGGCAGGGATTGGGGTAGAGTAGGTCGGGAGACCCTAGGCTTCAGGTCTTGGGCCAACTGGGAAGGAAGACGGTCCTCAGGATTGTTCTCGACTCGAGGGTCCTCAGACCCAGACCTTTCCTGATGTGGAAACGGCCTGGGAGCCTGGTGATGCCCGGGTTTGCCGCGGCTGCGGGGCGCGCCGGCGCCGATAGAGGGCTCGGCTGTAGGGCACGAGGCAATCGGCCAGGCGGAGGCGTAGACAGAGACGGCGGTAGCTGGCCAGGGCAAGTACGAGCAGCGGTACGAGGAGCAGGAATCCGGTGACCAGGAGGGCGGTGAAGCCCGGGTCCCGAAGGTGCGCGGTGCAAGGGGGTGCCTGGGAACGCAGGAACTGTGTAAGGAGAAAGAGGCGTCAGGCCCAAGCCGAACAGCCCAGGCGGGGAGAAGTTGTGGCCCGTAGACACCGCCGCCACGGGCCCCACATACGCCCGCACTTACAGCAAACCCCGGGGTGCACGCTCACCTGGGAGTGGCAGAGGAAGCCGAAGCCTAGCATGGTGACAGCGGGTAGCAGGATGGTTCCCAACACCAGCGCCAGCAGTAGAAGATTGAAGGCAGCCACCAGCAGATTCTGAGCCGTGACCAACACAGCGCAGGCCCAGCAGTCCAGGGGGTCCCGGGGTTCGGAGCCGCCGCCGGGAACGGGTCGCTGTGCCCCGGGGACATCCGCCATGGCCCGCCTGGCTCCCGCCCGCCAGGGCTGCGGCCCTTATAGCCCTCTTTCCTGCCCCTCCCCCGGCCCAGCCTCTCCCCACCCCCTTTATCC